TGAACCTTTAGGAAAAAGTCCTTGAAATTTCAACTTTCCACTCACTTTAGTTTTTGAGTGAACAAATAATTTGTAAAGTCTTATTTTACAAAACATCATTATTTTTTAAAAATCATAACTCCATGAATAATAACTCCGACTCTCGACGTACAAATAAGACGGACATATGTAGATAATTTTGACAATTGACTGACACTGACAGCTTGTCAAAAATAGGCCTAAAACATAGTAGGATCGTCTCTGTCATAATCCCTAATACGACGCCATTATTGTAATACCAATTTTGACATTTTTGTCAAAAAATAGGCCTAAAATGTATACAAATTTCAAACAAAGAATCGAAATCCGATCCGGCAACGTCGCCCGCTCTCTAGACCCGAGAGAGAGAAAGATGGTGTTTTATTTTGGATTTTAGTAGTCGAGGTCGGCACACCGATTCTCGCAACAACGCGGACAAAATAATTTTCCTCGTAGAGTCGCAAAATGGCCGATAAAAATTCAGTAGAATCTCGATTATCGGGGTCGACGCGCGCCCGCGTCACTAGAGGGGGTTAGTTTTTCCTTGGTTTTACCCCCCCTCAATGTTGCCGCCAAATTTCAAAAAAATAAAACTCCGTATAGTGTGACGCACTCTTTGGAATTTAATAACAAAAACTAAAAATTTAACCCCAAGGTTGTAGTATTTTTGCGTGATGTTTAAGTGCTTTTATCTTCTGGGTCGCAAAAAATAAATGAAAAGTTTTGCACCAGTCAAGGTCAATTTAAGTGTAGTGTCGTGCCGATTACTAATTAAAAATTCCCCAGATATTTTTCCGCAAAGTAAGGTGGACACCTGGGCCCCATAGACTTCTGGCCCTTATATTGCAACAGGTAAAAGAACCTTATAGTATAAAAGGGATGAAGGGTGAATGACTAGACCTACCTTTCTACCTACAGCTGAAAAATAACATCACATCAACAACCCAATTAAATAGTAATTATTATTTATTAGGCCATTGATTCTTCTAATAATAATATAATGGAAAGTTTTTTCAATTTGTGATTTTGGTGTCAAAGTTTCGGGTCAAAATTCTGAGAAAAACTATATTACTTTATTGAGTAGAAAATAAAATAGTGTACGTGCTCTAGGACAGGTAAAAATAAGGCAATAACAACTATGACTTTATTTAAAGTTAAATTCATATCAGCAGGTCTGATGGTGACGTCATTTTTTTCAAATTAATAATACAAGTGCCAAAAAAAAATAAATAATTAAAGGTCTCTTTTGAGTCTGGCAGTGACATCGTTTATTTTTTTGACAGCTGTCAAAGTTGAATCTGATAAATATGAATATTTTTGTAAAATAATAATTTGGGTTAAATTAAATTTTTCATAGGGAATAGCCTTTACATACCCCTAAGTGGAAAAAAATATTGATATCTATGCCGTTTTTACCATTGTAAAATGGGGCTGAATATCAAACTTTTTTCCAATTTTCAGTAAAGTGCGTTCCATTTGTATAGTTTTTCAAAAATAAATTTTTATTTAGAATTTGAGTTCTTTGTGCACACTTTTGCATTAAACAATTTCTGACAGCTGTCAATTTTAAATTTGACATCCAATTAACATGGAAAATAATTGACCTCTATCAAACGTTATTAATTTGGAAATGATTCAATGTCTAATGACAAAATGTTTGCCTGTTATAAATTAAGTAATTTTTGACAGCTGTCAATTTTTTGACATTTCCTACTTTATCGTTATACATTTGTACACTTTCGTCGATGACAGTTACTTACCTGAAAGAAATGAAATTTCGTTAAAAATGTTAGCAAGGGAAATATTATTATGAAACACCTAGTCTGGCCAGTGGATGTGAAGCTACGGATAAAAATGCACGCAGGTGGAAACATAATGAGTAAGAAAGAGACGGATATAAAGTAGGACATGGAAATTTGTAAAAAAAATTGCGGCAGGAGTTTTGATTATTCTCGGCGCTTGAGAAAACATGTACGTAACTTTTGTGTCTTACCAATTGCGAAATTCAATGAAAAAGAGAGAAATGAAAGCATAATAGAATGACACATATTTTCATTATTCCTGGCGCTTGAGTGACCATGTAATTTCCTTGTCCGACCAATTAAGAGTCTGGAATAATAAAGTAAGAGACAGCGATATAGAAAATTGAATAAGTAAGAAAGAGACAAAGATAAAGTAGGATTATAAAAATGTGATGGATATTCCAGGCGCTCGACTCAGGCTTGAAATAAAAATAATGAGAGACAACATAGGAAACACAATGAGTAAGAAAGAGACGGATATTGAAATATTTAAAAAAATTGCGAAACAAATTTTGATTATTCTCGGCACTTGAGTGGACTTGAATGTCACTTTTGTGTCTGACCAATCAAAAACCTGGAATAATAACAGAAAGATAATGATATAAGAAATTCAATGAAAAAGAGAGAGATGGAGGCATGATAGAAAAAAGGGAAAATTGTAAACATTTTTGCATGTAAAGAGGAAGGTGAGAACATTATTTTCCCAAAATTTCAAATTTTTCCAGTGGAAAACAGCAACATGAAAAATCTTGGAAATCAACCTATAAAAACTGAATTAGTTGAAAATACAGTTTCCCACATTTCAGAGTTTTCCTGGGAAACTAGTGAAGGGAAAATTTTGAAACTTTTTGCAGGTAAAGAGAAAGGTGAGAAGTTCATTATCTCAAAATTTGAATTTTTTTCGGTGGAGAACAGCAACATGAGGAATATTGGAAATGTTCCCACAATAACTGAATTAATTGGAAATACAATCTCACATATTTCAAAGTTTTCCTGGAAAACTAGTGAAGAGAAAATTTTGAAACTTTTTGTATGTAAAAAGGAAGGTGAGAAGATCATTTTTCCAAAATAAACAGCAACATGAAAAATCTTAGAAATCAACTTACAAAAACTGAATTAGTTGAAAATACAGTCTCCCACATTTCAAAGTCTTCCTGGAAAACTAATGAAGAAAACATTTTGAAACTTTTTGCGTGTAAAGAGGAAGCTGAGAAGATCATTTTCCGAAAATTTCAAATTTTTCCAGTGCAAAACAGCAGCATGAAAAATCTTGGAAATCAACCTAAAAAAACTGAGTAACTTGAAAATACAGTCCCACATATTTCAAAGTTTTCCTGGAAAACTAGTGAAGGGCATATTCTGAAACTTTTTGCATGTAAAGAGGAAGATGAGAACATCATTTTCCCAAAATTTCAAATTTTTCCAGTGGAAAACAGCAACATGAAAAATCTTGGAAATCAATCTACAAAAACTGGATTAGTTGAAAATACAGTCTCCCACATTTCAAAGTCTTCCTGGAAAACTAATGAAGAAAACATTTTGAAACTTCTTGCGTGTAAAGAGGAAGGTGAGAACATCATTTTCCCAAAATTTCAAATTTTTCCAGTGGAAAACAGCAACATGAAAAATCTTGGAAATCAGCCTACAAAAACTATATTCATTATTCTTTTGAATTTTTTAAATTTGACAATTTCCTTTAAATTCCTCATAAATTCCTCACAAATTCTCCCAAATTCCCCATAAATTCCTCCAAATTCCCTATAAATTCTCTAAATTCTTATAAATTCTAATGAGTTCCTTCAAATTCCCCACAAATTCCTTACATTTTTGACAAAGAATTTCTAGGTGGTTTGCCCCTCGAAAAGCCTGGAATAATAAGAGAAAGATAATGATGTAAGAAATTATAATGAAACTTCATTTAATATTTAAATTCCCATCGGGTCTGAATGGTCTGATGGTGACGTCAGTGGGCGCATTTTATCTATTCTAGATAATTTCGATAGCTGCCAGAATCAACTTGTCATTTTTGATTTACAAGTGCCAAAAAACTAAATAATTAAACGTCTCTTTTGAGTCTCACAGTGACATCATTTGTGGAAAAATTTGTCCTTGAATTAAGCGATTTTTGACAGCTGTCAGTTGGTTGTTCAATGAGCATATCAGATGTTATTATTATGATGACATTTGAAAATTATTTAAATGTTTATTAAACTTCAAAATTTGTATCATTTTCATTTAAAATTAAGCGATTTTTGACAGCTGTCAAAGTTGAATTTAATAATACAATGAATATTTGTAAAATAATAATAAATAAAAATAGAGTTTTAATTAAATTTTTCATCAGGAATTGCCTTTACATACCCTCAAATGGAAATAAGCATTGATATTTATGCCGTTTGTACCATTATAAAATATCGCTTGTTATCAAACTTTTTTCCAATTTTCAGTAAAGTGCGTTCCAAACGGTATTCTAAATTAAAAAAAAAAGTTGCATTTGAAGAAGGCGATTTTCAACATCTGTCAATTTTAAATTTGACAGTTAGATGTCCAATGAACCTAGAAAATAGTTGACATCTATCAAACGTTATTAATTTAAAACTTAGAGAAATAATTCAATGTGACACATGTTTGTTTCAAATCAAGCAACTTTTGACAGCTGTCATTTTTAAACATTTCTTACCTTATTACTCAAAACGGTTTCATTGGTGACAGCTACTTACCTGAAACAAACAAAATGTTCGTTAAAAATCTAAAACCACATTTTCAAGAGAAAATCTCTAGCTATTGTCTGGCCAATGGATTTGGAGCTACGGAAGGAATTGGGATGAAATGAAAATGCCTACAACTGGATATTTTCTTACAACTCAAATTCGTTGGCCAGACAATAGAGATAAAGACACGCATATTTATTTTTCAACCAAAATTTGTGTGTCAACATAACAATTAAAAACCGCGATAATAAAATCATGGTACCGAAGTGAATTAACCAGGTAAAAAAAGTCAATAATTGAGTACCTTTTAATGAGGGTGGTACTCAGGTACTTTTGCCTCCTTGCCTTTTGAGGCAATTGCCTTAGTTTGCCGCTTGTATTTGAGGGTAGAAGATGTTTTGAATTGAAAATTGACGTAAATTTACTATTTAATCAAAAGTCGAATACAATTGTTTTTGGTTTGTTCCAGCGTCGAACGAGACCGCCTTCGTGAGCGCGAAAGGCAGGTGCGATTGGCCCAAATGTCGGTGGTGGAACAGGAAGGGCCTTTGCCCCTATTCAAGGAGCCCCGAAGGGTAAGTTGACACATAAATCTTCAGAATAATTTTGACACTTTGAGAGAATTTCTACTGTTGTTGTTTTTATTTATTTTTGATGACGTATTATTAGTGATGACAATAACATTTAGAGTTACTTCTTCAGGCTTCAGAGGTTGTTCCATTTAGGAAGTTTTGTGGTTTTTTGAAACTTCAACACCAAAAATCTCAAAATAGTTACAAAAGGCATTTTGTTTGTTTTTCATCTTCCTTCAATGAATACAATTGAAAAAAGACAAAGGATGTCCGCTGGTTAATCATTGGATCAACGTTAAAAACATACTAGAGTCAAACCAAAAGAGAATTACTTAATAAGTAAATTGTATACATTTTAATATTCATGTTTACATTTATGAAATAAACACCACCAATTGTGATTTTATGTGGTATTTTCGATATTTTTTGATTTTTAAAGGATTTGTTTATTTTCTATACATAGATTTTCCAGCTCAAACGTTCAATAATAATTACGGACCTAGATTTGATATTAAATATGTACAGGGTGTTTATTTAATATATTGATACCCTACCTACAGCCTTTATCTTTACAGGTAGATGAAAGGTGTAAATACAAAAGTTGTACAGTTTTGGCTGAATTTTTAGAAACCATTGTCAGAAATATGAAATTTTGCCATTCTGACACACCAACAAGTAAACGTAAAGCCAGCAGTCCCCTAATAATTAAAAAAAAAAATCTGTAACTCAGTTAATAATTAATCAATCCTATTTTTTCTTCGACTATTTAAGAGCACCTAATTCTGATACAAAAGAAAATTTTGGAAAAATATTTTTTACTATAGGAGACTGCTAGCTTTTATACATCTAGCAGTCCCTTAGTTTTTTTTGATTTTCTCAAAAACTAAAGGAGCACCTAATTTTTAATTAGAGGCTCTAATTAGCACCTAAAAAGCACCTAATTATTATATAGTTTCCGAAGTTTTTTTCCACCTTGGGACTGCTAGGTTTATAGACCTTAGATCGGGGCATTCTGCTCTTCAAGAATATACATAGAATGAAATATAGGGTATTCTGAGGGGTATTTTATTTGCAAAAAGGTGGAAGCATGCACCATGGTTTCTCAAAATTCAGCCAAAACTGTGCCACTTTTGTATTTACACCTTCGCTCTACCTGTAAAGGTAAAAGTTGTAGGTGGGGTGTCAATATACAGGGTGTCCCACGGTGAATGGCGTATTAGACGTTTATGAGAAACTAAAAAGCGGATCATTTTGAAAATTTGGCAACCGGGATAAACGATCATAATCTACATTTTAAAAATATTTTTGTTTATGCGGTGTTGCCGCATCTACTCTAAACCAGTGTCAACATCGCTATATGTGATTGCATATTTGAATTCTACGTAAAATTCTGAGCAGATTTCATGTGATATACCCGACAGGTGATAGAATTTTTTAGAATTTCTTAGAATTTTTTAGAATTATCAGTATTTTTTAGCATTTTTTAGTATTTTCTAGCATTTTCTAGAATTATTTAGAATTTTTTTAGTATTGTTTAGAATTGGATTAGAATTTTTTAGAAATAATTTAGAATTTTCACCTATTGCGCATGCTTAAGAGCCCGCGCATTGCGCAATCTGTTGGGATTTTTGGAAATTTTTTTGAATTTTTAGAATTTTTCGAGAATTAGCATTTTTCAATATTTTAGAGTTATTATTTTTGGTGTAAAAAAATAGGTAGGTGGGTTCCCCCGAGCGGGAAACCTTCTTAGAATTTTGGTGTACAGGGTGATCTATTATAAATGTCACCCCCTTCTAACTTTTTCATTTGACATTTTTGACAAAAGTGTCAAATACAAAAGTTTCAATAAATTGTCGAAAGTTTTTAACCAAGTCAGTTTTAGACATACAGGGTGTGTCAAAAAAGTGTAGCAGTGTGAAGTTATATTTTTTTAAATGGAACACCCTGCATATTGTGCGATATACGATTTGATGTCAATCTTCGATATTTATATACAGAGTGCGGCATAAGTTCCGCTCCACTATCACTATTCTTCGCTTTTTCGTGCAAAATGGGGGCGGAACTTATGCCGCACCCTGTATAAGGAAAAACATGAAAACTCCTTTCAAGGTTTCATATTGAAAAAAGAAAAATTATACCATTTAAGCTTTAAAGAATTTTTTTTATGAACAGTTTATTGTTCAAATTTTATTCATTAATATACAAGGTGAAATATTATATTATAATAAATCCAGTTATTATTATTATTTTTGAATAAATAACATGAGAGAACTAGCAAGGGATTTTCGCGTTTTTCCCTATAACTATTGAAGATAAACAGAGAGATAAACATATCAAACCGTATATCGTTAAAATCATATTATCTAGTATGGTGCTGGAACTGGTAAGGGGACTAACAAATAAGCGCACAATCAGTGGCGTATTTACCATAGGTCTGTTCTCACAAGATTCTCTGACAGAGTTCTCACAAGTCTCTGACAGTTTGCAAACGAGCACATCAACTATACATCATGTTTTTAATGCCTTTGGTCCAAAATAAATCGGTTACTTAGCTGAGCGATTGTTTCTGACAGGTTGCAAACTATCACTGACTCTTGAGAGAACAGACCTATCATCGCAAAAAAATATGTACAGGGTCTTTCCCCATATATTGACCCCCCTTTACAAGGGTTATGTGAAGAAATCAAAAAATCTTAAATAAAATCTGTTTTTTTTTTAAAGATAAACGTCAAAATGACTGTTGGCAATACAATTTAAAATTGTCAATGTAGAAAAGGCTTGTGTTGCCAACATAGTTACCTACTAAATTTTTTACTTGGGGAATTATCTTTAAAAAAAACATACTTTACAAAAGTTTTGGGATTTTACCTGAAAATTTTGAATCCGATGTCAAAAACTTTTTTGTTTTTTTAGAAATGTCAAATTTTGACAGATGTCAGTTTTTTTCTTATGGAACACCCTATATATGACTTCATAGTTAAAAAGAATCAATTTTTCTGAATTCAAATATACATATATGGTTTAACTACTTTTAATCGAGCTGTTTTGGAAATATCGGGCTCTAAACTTCAAGAAAATAATACATTGAAACACATCAGGGTCCTTATTCTCGAAACAGGGGAGCAGCGTTTTGCGTTCTCGTGAAACTAACCCAAACTTTCGTTCACGTTGTTTCCTGGTTTGGAGAATTAGCATCCAGCTCTGTTCCAACCGACATGGGAACCGTCTTAGAACGGTAATTTCCAGTCGATCAATTCATTTGTCAATTAATAAACGTTCAACTTATTGAATGAACGATGTGTTTCAATCTATTATTTTCTTGAAGTTTACACCCGATATTTTCAAAACGGCTTAATTAATAGTATATTATGCAATGATCATGTTATATATATACGAAACTCGCCTGCGGCTCGTATCCTACAACATGCTTGTGTATTAATGGCCATTACATGAGAGTTGCATACACTATTTTCTCTACTTACATCAATAAACGAAAAACATATTTATTTTATAAGAATAGTAAACTGTTCATGTTCAAAATACTCGATTACAGTGGCTGAAAAATCTGTATCATAATGAAAATCTGTATCATAATGAAGCTCATTATGAAACAGATTTTAGGCGTATTATGAAACGTCAGTAGAAAAGAGTAGTTAAACCATTTCAAATCAGAAAATTTGACTCTTCACAACTATGAAGTTAAATATAGGGTGTTCCATAAGAAAAAACTGATTATCTGTCAAAATTTGACATTTTAAAAAAAGCAAAGAAATTTTTGAGATCGGATTCAAAAATTTCAGATAAAAATCCAAAACTTTTGTATTTACAATTATTTGATATCTTTTCACATAACCTCTATAGTGGGGGGGTCAATATATGGGAAAGACCCTGTACATACAAAATATTTAATAAATAAATAGTGTTTCTTTTTTTGTTTGATCTTTCTTCATTATTATTATTTTTTGTTGGTAAATTAGGGCGGCAAACCTTAAAGGCCCCGGGCGCCAAATTTTAAAATACGCCACTGCGCACAATATACAGGGTGTTCCATTTAAAAAAATATAACTTCACACTGCTGCACTTTTTTGACGCACCCTGTATGCCTAAAACTAACTTAGTTAAAAAAAAATGATAATTTCTTAAAACTTTTGTATTTGACAGTTGACATTTCTGTCAAAAACGTCAAATGATAAAGTTAGCAGGGTCGACATTTATAATAGATTACCCTGTATAAACTGATACAATTTTTAGAATTTTTTAGAATTATCAGTATTGGTTAGAATTGAACTAGAGTTTTTTAGAAATAATTTAGAATTTTTATCTATTGCGCATGCTCAAGAGCCTGCCCAATTTGTTGGGATTTTTTAGAATTTTTTAGAATTTTTAGAATTTTTTGGGACAATAATAACATGAAAATTAGCATTTTTCAGAATTTTAGAATTTTTGGTGTACAAAATTAGGTAGGTGGTTTCCCCCTCGGATATACCCTATACCTAAATTCAACTGTTTTGAAAATATTGACAGTTGAAAACTGACTTTTTGCAATTTTGACAGGCTGTAAAACCTGAACGGTTAATTTTAGAGAAAAACCGATTTCACATTCCTATCTTAAATTTTCATGAACTATCATTTGACACCAACTTTGAATTTAACCGGAGATTAAATTTAATTGGAATTTTTAATCATAGATTAAATTCGAAGTTGGTGTCAAATGATAGTTTACAAAAATCTAAGATAGGAATGTGAAATCGGTTTTTCTCTAAAATTAGCCGTTCAGGTTTTACAGCCTGTCAAAGTTGCAAAAAGTCAACTGTCAATATTTCCAAAACAGTTGAATTTAGGTATAGGGTATATCACATGAAATCTTTTCAGAATTTTACGTAGAATCCAAATATGCAATCATATACAGGGTATTTCATCTAAAATAGCGATGTTGCCACTGGTTTAGAGTAGAAGCGGCAACACCGCATAAACAAAAATATTTTTAAAGTGTAGATCATGGT